CAATCCATCTGGACAATGTGCCGCCGAGGCAGTGCGACTTGCCGCGGCAGCCTTGATTTATATGCACGGTACTGGAGATGCTGGTAACGCCGTCGACCCTTCTCAACGCTGTCTTTCGCCAGACATCTTCCAGGAAGACGTGACGCAAGCCTCGGAGGCATGTTATGACGGAGATCCGACATTGTCCGCGGTCCAGGAGCTGCATGATGGACCATGGGACAGCCTCATCCCCCCCGATACTTCTTTCGGCCTCACAGACTTCATACCAGACGGGGTGTGTGGCGACGTGGCATCTCTGTCAGTAGCGTTTGCTTGTGCAACGACGGGTGCGACATTTTCCCGTGCAACGACGCTTGCGATATTTGCCTGCGCAGCGGTGAATGCGACGATACGGTGTCGCAGGGGGCCTGCTGGGAGCAAGGCGTAGATTTCGCCGGCTTGACCCCGCTCGATGTCTGTCTCGCCAAGCATACTCTGGACCTGGAACAACATCGAGCTAGTGTTCAAACCTCAGCGGAGAAGCCAGGTCTGGGTGTCCGACGCCAGCCCGGAAAGAATCGAGTTTGAACCCCGAAGTAGCATAGAGACAGCGCACGGGACACTGAGCTGGATAGATGTCCACCCGGGCGGCACCGCTAGCTTTGCTGTCCGGCTGTGTTGGAGCGCAGATCAAAACGTTTTCTGCGGCCAGGACGAGATTCGCGGAAAGAGGCTGGCCATCAGCTTTGAAATGGCACAAGCTCTGCTGCTAGCTGTCGGGAAAAGTCAGCCGTTAAATTATGAGTCTGTCAGGTTGTTGAGTGGGAGCATCACGAGACGACGGGTCACACGGACGTAGGTGCGTCTGCACGGAACTACAAGAGCTTGCTGGCGGCTGCACATGGCATGCCAATATGTCCGACGGGAACGGCCACACGATGGCAAGACAACGACAAACAGTCAAGATGGTCACCGGGGGGCAACCGCATTGGGAAAAGGGGCCAAAAGAGGCTTCTTGCGCTATGACGAGCATCTCTCCTTCCCAGTCATGTCTATCTCTCTTTCCTAGCCACCTCTATCTATTTTCCCTAGTCATATCGACTCGTCGCTGTCCACATCGTCCTCGCTGTCCTCGCCGCCGGTGCCATGGATGCCCCCACCATGACTGCAGCTCGGAAACGTGAAATCGCTCTCTCCAACCCGTTCGTGACGTTCCAGGCATTCGGTCAACCACTGATGGCTGACTATCCAGAGCGGCTCCCGGTCGGGTCGTGGATCATGCATGAGGACGTGCTGGACGAGCGAGTCGTGCCGATTGAGTTCCTTTTCGGTGACGCAGAAATGCGTCAAGACATCTGGCCGTACGCCCGTCCTGTGAGTGCCACCTAGTCTGATAATGGCGTTGCGCACGCCGTCGTAGCTCTCACTCCCTTTGGGCAAAGGAAAGCTGCTCGTGAAGGCGATGACACAGCCTGTGAGCGGGGCATATTTTGGATTCCGCCGCGTATTCAAAAGATAATGTGACACGGGCAGAAACTTGCCTTGGTCATATGATCCTTGGAGCCATTCGAAAGAAACGACAGCCGCCCGCAGCTGCGTGGCTCGGAAGGCATCCTGGTGCAGATATCGAATTCGGTGGTCCGTAGAACATAAGACTTGCGTCGTTTCGTAAACCTGCTCATGGTAGCTCCCGCCGAGCCTGTAAATCCAGGTCTTGACCTCTTGCAGAGAGATCTCATTAGGCAGTGGGCAGCTCACGGCGATGTTCAGTGCCGCAAACATGTCAAATTGATGCGGGAATATTAGTAGGCCATGGCCTGGCGGCCGTGCAGTCTTTGAATACAGTCGGGCAGTCTTCAGCTGGCAGGCTGGCAGTCGGGCGATCCTTGACGCGCATTCGCGACCAGCCCTCACCTTATAGACATACGCTGTACATGTACAGAAACAGACACTCTCTTTGCCCTTCTACTCGCCGCAAACCCATCACGCAGAAGTGTATTTCGACCATGGCCGCTAAATGACGAGCAGGAAGCCAGTCGTGATTTTCTTAGATGGATTTAGTGGCTTGCGCGCGCTTAAACGAATGGTGAAAAGCCAAAGGCGACTTGAGCGATTAGACCCGGTCCGCCGAGCGGACAAAAGCAGGCATTGGCCGACGGGCAACGACAGTGAGCGCACAGACCATGTGCTGTCTGATTCAGGTTCAGATCGGACGCGCGTTGGACGGCATTGTTCGTAATTTGCTTGTCAAAGTTAGGCCTGTACCATCAAGCATTTTTTTTTCGCGCGCCTTGAGGTATGTGGTGAGGCGCGGACGGTACGTGTCTTGCAGTCGGCCACCGGTCAGAAGCACACACACAGACATTCGTAGCGCAGAGCAGGGCCCTTCACGCGTCATGAGTGCCCCACTTCCGCTTCTCGTCCACGAGGCGACAGACGAATGCTTCACAAATCTGGTCAAGGTCGTGATTGCCTGTCCACTTCCGCAACAGGTGAGCATGGAACTCACGAAGCTTTGGATTCAGTCGCTCGGCGGGACCTATCAAAAGCGTGTCGGCTCGACAACGACGCACGTTTGCATCGAGCCGAGCCAGTACTATTCCTCGAGCCATGATGTCAGAATGGCAAGGTCGAGGAACATCGTTCTTGTCACTCTGGGCTGGCTAGAGGATTCTTACGCCGAGGGCAGGTTCGTGGATAGTTGCGACTACGACCTTGCTGCATTGTGTGCACACGCCGCTCCGTTGCGGGGGTGCGTGATCGCTTTCACATCCAGCTATCCGCGATCTCGTGGCGTTCCTGGTTTCAAGCTTGTCGAAGAGCATATCATCAATCTAGGGGGGATTTGCGATCAGGCTAGCGAGCCTATCCACGCCCTGACACACCTTTGCGCGACCGAGGAGGAGATTCGTCATCAAGGCATTTACGTGAGAAATGTCCTCCATCGGGCGAAAAGCGACGAGGACAAGGCCTTCCATCTCGTCAACCACCAGCGGCTTGTGGAATGCCTGAGGCAGGGAAGAAGGGTAGAAGAGGACCTTGATGTCCTGCCACTGACCTGGTGATGAATATATTGACTCGCGAAGTAGACGCGGAGAGGGCAAAACGGAGGCAAAGTCGGGAAGACAGGACGTAGAGACAGGGCGAGCTGAGGATGGCTGAGTATAGGGATATCACAGCCCCAGACAAGGGAAAAGACAAGAGGAAAATAAATGTCAGGATGATAGAGGCCTATGGCCAACTTGAGCGAGCGTCATGCGCCTCTGTTGGTGCCAGCCACTGCTGTGTGTGATCCTACTAAAGGTCCAGTCCTCGAAATAGGGGCGAGCGGATTCGCATGCAACCAAGAGTGCTGGCACATCAGGTCAGCTTAAGAGTAGATCACGAGCATCTCTCTATTAGAGGCGGCTGCGCCCAGCATACACTAGCTTCCGAATACGCAGGGGAATATGTCTACGACGAAAAAGAGCAGGAGCTGGTTGACGACCGCCTCCGCTGCACGCTCGCCTGCCAGGACTTGACTGCCGCTATGGAGTGCGTTTTCGGTGTAGTACCTAGCACGCTGGCGCAACGGATACATCAATTCCCGTTTGACCGGATTATATATGAGTCGTCGGAGGGGGCCTCGAACGCAGCAGACAGAGATGCTTGCCATCATTTCCCACGCTTCACAGCCAAGGCCCCGTTTTATTGCAGCTACGGATATAACGTCACGATTGGGGAGAATGTCACAATCGGATAGCGATGCTTGAGGATGGCGCACGAGTCACGATCGGGGCGAATTCCATCATTGCACGTGGCCTCCAAATCATCAAACCAGATGACCCTGGGCAGTACGACAGATGTCTAAGTGCTCACAGGTTAGTTAGGAGCAGGTCTGTCACGATCGAATCGCCCTGCGACATCGGAGCCGGAGTACTCATCTGTGCCGGGGTGCTCATCTGCGCCGGTGTGCGCATCGGTGCAGGAAGCATCATCCAGCCTGGGACCATTGTCACATCGGTAGTAACTCTCCTCAATAAATGAGGTTTCCATTGACTTCCTGCAGGATATCGTGCCGGCCGCTTGGGCTTTCGGCAACCCCCAGTGGTCTGTCGACGTGCCTCCGCAGGTACTTGGCATAGAAGCGGAAGGCCAGTAGGGCCAAAAGTGCCGTGCTAGAGCGGGAGCGTGAACATTCTCCTGCAAGTGAGGCTTGGAAAATGCCCCTGAATCGGCGAAGAACTCTTCGAGGGCAAGAATGGGGATACGAACCAGGCACGTCAAGTGAGGATACTGAGTATGTCGCTGCTGTGGAAAGTAGCCATGACGGACACGGACATCAGTCAAGGCCTCAAGGCGAATTCAGACACCGTACTCGATAGTTGTGAAGCAGCTCGCGTCGAGCCCGACACCCCCGTAAGCACGATCGACAAGACATTGATGTTGGCCTATAATCCTGACCGAAAGGCGAAAAGATCTCGAAAGGAGAGGCATTGCAATCGATACACTGCAGTTGTCACTGCTGGGCTGCTTCCACGCAGCCCTTGCTCATCAAGGTGATCAAGGGAAACGACAATTTCCGACGGTTTGCGTGGCGCTCTAAGCGCCCAGGTTCATCATTTTCTTCATCAATTGAAGCCAAAGGATCTTTACTTCATCACCAGCCATGCCGGTCTTGGCTCCGGCCCGGATATCACACATGAGGTCAGTATGCTGGGGTCACCTCATGCTGGAGCGCTTTCACGTCGACACTCGCACAGATGCAAGCAACAATCGAAGGTATCCTTCATCTGATGAGCTAATCGAGGAGTACGCTATCAGCTACGCCTTTCTCTAGGATCATAACCCGGGTTGTCTTCCTCTTCGCTCTCGTCCTCGTCCTCCTCTCGGTCCTCCTCTTCGCTCTCTTCGCTTTCGTCTTCGTCCTCCTCTCGGTCCTCTCCTTCACTCTCTTCGCTCTCTTCTTCGTCCAGCCTATCGTGTATGTATGGACCAACGTGTACTAGAGAGCCCTGTTGCGAGCAGGCGTCTAGCCAACCATGATTGACGAAGGAGACTTTGTGGAAGTACGAGAGGACAGCTTGCGGAAGCTTGTTGTATGTCGCTCGCGAGGCCACAAAGTGACTAGTATCCTTCGAGAGACTAAATAATGATACCCCTCCAAGATGAACGACTTCTTTCTCAAGCTGCGCCTTGGTCATATAAGGGGATTCGTCGGCTACGACAATGCCACAGTTATACAAAGGCCTCCCGGGGTCGAATCGAGCCAGGGTGGTTTCTTCCTCGCTTTCCTCACGGTCTTCCTCACTTTCCTCACGGTCTTCCTCACTCTCCTCACTCTCGTCACTCTCTTCGTCATCTGCCTCACTCTTGCCTTCCATGTTTTCCCCAACCGCTGTCGACAAGGTAGCTTCTAAGCAACGAAATATAGCATTGATATGGTCAATGCATTCCATGCGCTCTGCGTCACTCTCGCCCTCCGTTTCTTTTTCGA